AGATCAATTATAATTATTTTTTGACTAATATTTAATACCATGTTTTTGTTTTACAAAAAAGGAAAAACCCTATGGGATGAGTTTCACCTACTTAGACCTTCAAAACAAGACATTCAGTCAAGCCATCAGCAATATGGCAGGTACTTACTAACACCACATGCCAGGAAAGAAGGTCATTGTTGATTGGCTGGCTGATTTAAAGCCTCCTCTTGCTGATTGCCTCTGAAACTATAGGTATGCCTGTATGGAATAATTTATTGTCATTATTGTTATAATACACTGGAAGTCCTCATGTTAGTGAATGCAGTGGCATAAACATTGCAAAGCAAATATCAGTTTATCAGTTCATTAGAACTCTATTTCACACAAAACCTCTTTGCTTCCACAGCTTTTTTTCTTCCTGTATAGTGTCCAGGTCTTGCTATACCTTGTACTGATAGTTTGTTACTGATAGGCTTTAGAGCTTGACTTTTTTCTTCATTCAGACTGTATATAACTCACAATAATTTACTAAGCTTTTTATTTCTAGAAACTCAACATACTGTCTATTAAGGGTCGATTTTGTTTAATAAAAATGTATTCTGTAACTCTATTGCATAATTATGGACGCAGAAAGGATGCTCAACCCTTCTTCTTCCTAGCGTTATTCCTATGCTATGGCAGGGTTGGCAAAGCTCTCTCTATTTGGCTTGACATCTTCATGAGCGATGCCCACACATTTCATGTCCTCCTTGATGAGATCCATCAACAGTTTCTTGGGTCTGCTATGAGGTTGCCAGCCATCAGGGTTCAGATGTATGGCTTTTCCAAATATTGGACCTAAAATGGCGCCTTTATGTGAATCTCAACCCTATCCACAGTAACCCCATTGTACAGCTATAGCAACAGAAATTAAGAGCAGAGATCTTCCCAATTTAGTAATCCTTTATGATTCAAATATTTGTGTATATTATATATTTATGCATGCAATCTCTGCCTGCAGGAAGTGGGAGAACTTAAGAGGTTCTGAACCAAATTTGTAACTTGGGCTTCACATTAGTTCTGTTTCATATGAGTTGATGGTTGTTTTACCCTGTAACTGTCTCATAATGTTCAAATTCTTCACTGGAACTTCATTTGAATCTTTAATGAGAACGCAACTGAAATTTTGAATCCCTTTTTGTTAGATTTTCAACATTTTAAAGTGTTTTTTTTTAATAAAACAATTTATTAGTTTTAACAGTTAAAAACAGCCAACAATACATAAATGAAAGAAAAAAAAAGAAAGAAGAAAAGAAAGAAAAGAAAAGATTGAAAAGAAAGGAAAAAGAAAGAAAAAGAAAGAAGGAAAATTATAAACATTCATATTTATTTTACAGTTTGCAAGATCCTTTTTTTTTATATTATAGCCTTTGATTTATGTCATATATACACCTATTCTATACATATATCACTATCTCATTATTATCAGTTAAAACTTTTCTCTTATGCCTTGTGATATATAATTTATCTATGATTAATCCAATTATACCAACAATTCCAACTATCATAATATTGTGAAGTATCTTTGTTTTTTAGTGCCAGAGTCAGTTTGTCCATTTCTGTGCATTTTGAAATTTTATCAATAATCACTTCATCTGATGGAATTTGATGTTGTTTCCAGTATTGTGCAAAGGCTAATCTGGCCGCAGTTAATATATGTATTGTTATATATTTAGCTTTTTTGGATATTTGTTTGTCAAAGATCCCTAGTAGGAAGGACTCTGGTTTATACTCGATCTGCTCTTTTGTAATTTCTTCCAACCAAGTTTGGATTTTCTTCCAATAATTTTGGGTTTCTGTGCATGTCCACCACATATGGAAAAAGGTTCCTTCTTTTTTCTTACATTTCCAACAATACGGACTCATGTTGGGGTGCATCTTCGCTAGCCTCGAAGGAGGGAGATGCCATCTATAAAACATTTTATAAAGATTTTCCTTGTATGCTACCGATTTTGTGATCTTATTATTCCTGCCCCAAACTTTTTCCCATTCTGCTAGTGTAATACTACGTCCTACATTCCGACTCCATGCAATCATATTCCCTTTTACAATTTCTTCTTCTAATTCTGTTTCTAGTAAATAATTGTAAAATTTTGTTATGCTTTTTTTGTCCGGTCCTAATAAAATCTTATCTAATTGTTGAAGTTTGTTGTTAATATTAGTATTCTATTTGTTAATTTAGAATCATGGAGTAAACTTCAAATTTCACTATTAGGCCGGATTGCGAACATTTTAAAGTGTGTTGCATACAGAGGAAATTAGTTGGTTTGTTACCATGGAAACCTATATGTTCTTAATAATATTTTGTGACAAGGTGGATGATCTGGAACTAAAGATATTCTCCTTAAAAAATGAAGAATAGACTAAAAAAACAAGCAAACAAATAATACAAATCAGGTTATTGTGGGTGGCCCAAATTCCATGCATTGTCAACTTAGGTTTGCCAACTCCATTTGAAACTAACCCTAGAAATTCCCTTTTCCTAAAAAATACATTTATGTACCAATTTTTTTCTTCTGAAGTTTGTATTATATAGCATTCAGCTTTGTTCGGGTATTTTCCCACATCATTGTAGTTGTGCTCTTAAAGTTGTAGCAACGTTTTGGCAGAATCTCATCTGCCATTATCAGGCTTCTGTATAGTGTTTGCCTGATGATGAAGCCTGATGATGGCAGATGAGATTCTGCTGAAACGTTGCTACAACTTTAAAAGCACAATTACAATGATGTGGGAAAATACCCGAACAAAGCTGAATACCATACATGTAAGTACCCACGAAAACTTAAGAATGAATATATATGAATGTACACACACACACACACACACACACACATATGAATGTACACACACACACACACACACACAAACCATGAAAAATAATAATTTAATTGGTATCTTTTGATTAGAAATAATTGCTTATAAAATAAGCTATCTTATTTAGAAAGTATACACACAGTATCTTTTTCTCTAGTCTATGTCTGCTGTGTTAAAAATGAATATTTATTCTGAGATAGATAAATTAACTTCTTTGATTAGAGAAAAGACACTATCTACATTTATTGGTGACTAGAAACCTCTTACGAACTTTTAGTGTGAAAATGAAAAAAAAGAACTTGTGATTCATGACTTTGATGATTTAGATAGGATAGAGTATAGAATGAATACATGGTGTAGTATTTTAGACACTTCGAACTATAATTGTACTTATAACTGATGTGAAGAAGCATTTCGTATGTCTTTTATCTTTCTTTTGTTTTCTTTATCTTTTTTCTTCTGTTGCATTTTGCTTTCTCTTTATTTTTTCTTCCTTGCTTTAGTTTTTAATATTCTTTTTTTCAAAGTTCCAATAAAAATAATTTTTAAAGAAAGAAAATGAAGGTTTATCTATTTGTTATGTCAGAGCCATTGTGGTGCAGTAGTTAAGGGGAGGGATTAGAAACAAGGAGAAAGAGATTCTAGTCTTTTCAAAGACATAGAAGACAGCTGGGTGTCTTGGGCCAATCACTCTCTATCAGCCCTAGACTAGTAAATAAAACAACATATATCTACTAATACTCACTGGACTATTGTGGTGGATAATGGTCCATCACCTTCAATAAAGTACCCTTCATCCTACAGTGGATTGATTTTAGATGATGATGATGATGATGATGATGATGATAATAATAATAATAAATAAATAATAAATAAATAAATAAATAAATAAATAATGTATTCATGCATTCCCCAGATCCCAATAGCTAGGTGGTTTACATTAATCAAAAAATAGTATCCAGTAATGGGTATACTACTCATCAATCCCAAATCATCAAATTAGTGGAGCACAAACAATAAATATGATCAGGTATTTTATAACTGTCATAGACACAGGTATAAATTTCTATTTGGTATTAATGAATTAATATTTTTGGACAACTTTTTCTATACTATCTGTTTTTGAAATCCTGTTTTTCATCATTCTGGGAAATCATACTGAAATTCTTGCAATGTTAGTAGCTCATCCTACTGAGAATGTTTTGTTTTAATCACTTATTCAAACAGGGATCCTAGAGAAACTATCAAGAAAAATCTTACTTCAGTGTAAGCAGCTGGAATGTAAAATATCTACCTGAAATTATAAAACAGACTTTGCCTCCCTGTCCTGACCCAAAATTAGTTTTGTTGTTATTATCTGATGGTTCGTGTAAGGATCTGATTCACAATGAGCTTGTCACACTTTTGTGACTGACAGTTTGAGTGAAAATAGCCAAAAGGTGTAGCATTCTCACCAAGTCATGCTGAACATATTAAAGAGAGGGGCAAATAGTCCTGTCAGAAAAGTAAATGCATCAGCTAAGACCAGATTTCTGCAAACTGGTGCCCTCCAAATGTTCTGGCATTGCCCACATTGAGAATGTGTATCTGTGTGGAGGGAAGCTGAAGCAATACATCATAATATGTGCTATCCAACAATATTAAACAGAGCAGTGATAATGTTTTTTAAACAGTGTACATCCATCATCTATTCATTAGTCTTGTTGGAGCTATCAGGATAATCATCCCATTACTTACAGGCCATATTCAATTCATCCGTCAGTTCTTCTATTGTTTAACCACACTGCACTTGGATTGAGAAGAGCAGATCATGGCTTGTTTTATTTTTTAAATCACGCGCTTGCCTTTTTTGTTACTGAATTATATATTTAAAAAGAAGGGGAGGTGGGAACAGGTTGGATTCAAAATTGCCTTGCTTCTAATGTGTTTGGAACACTGAGTGTAGTTGCTACTGGTCTCTTACTTGTGGTGCTTATAAATAAAGGGAAATCTTTCTTATGCCTGACAAAGCTAAGCTTTAGTGGAGGGGATGGGGCATCCCACTTTGGTATTTGCAGTGAGTTTTGACGAATGCACGGCCTGTGTTTTGGGTATTAAGGGAAATGTAAAAATATGTCCAGATCTTGTGAATGCTCACGTGGCGATTTGTTGGTTTGATTTTTCAGGTCGTGATTTGGCAAGCACAACCCTCCCTGGATACCCTCCACACGTCCCCCCTGCTGGACAGGGCAGCTACTCTGCTCCAACGCTGACAGGGATGGTGCCTGGTGAGTTTTCATTAAAAAAAAGAGGGGGTGGAGGTGGGGAAATACGAATGAAAGCAATGACTTTCAGCCACAAAGCCAAGGATTTCCTTTGTGCTCCTTTTACATGCCAGCTGCATCTAGATTTACAAACCTGAAGGCAAGGAGAGATGTTAAACACACAATTAGGCAACTGCCTTTCTCTGACTCTGTAATTGTATTATGACAATGATGTATATAACTCCTGGAAACTTAGACCTTGACTTCATTTTGATGGGAGGGAGACTGATTTAAAAGAACTGGTAGCCCTAAGAGAAGTTATTCTGTCAAAATATGTCTGGAAGGAAGCTTTCTGTTGAATACATATTACAAGAGATATATGTAAGATTAATTTTGGGATTACTTTGCTCGTTGCATTTTTAGTATGTGAATCTTTTAAATTAACTTGGTTATAAACATGTCTTACAATTGTACCTGTAGGTTCTCATACTTAGAAGTGATATACTTAATCTATTAAGGTAGTCCTCAATTTACAACTATTAAACTTTGTTTAATGATCACTCAAAGTTACAATGCCCCTAAAAAAGTGAGTTATGACTCTGGATGGTATACAACAGAGCTAAACAACAACAACAATCAATAAAGGAAAATATTTGTAGCTAAGGGATGACATGAAGGATCCTTGATGCTCTCTGAGCTTGGCTGTTTTCTCGTAGATGTTTCATACCCAATCGAAGTAACATCATCAGTGCTAGTAAGGAGTGTTGTTCTGCCAACTAGATTCCATCAGACAAAGCTCCCTAGCTGATGGGACATGCAGCCTGTTCCCTCCCCCCCGATGGATATGGTGGGATGGGCAGATGTAATCAAGGAGAGGCTGTTCCTCAGATAACCAGCCCCACGCCATGTAGGTCTGCTTAGAAAAGTGAATCTCTCTTTTTTGTTATTTCAGTTTGAAAGGTCAATTGATTACTTTGATCTGAAGAAAAAGCCTTTTTTAATTCTTATTTCTGAAGCACTGCCTATATTCAGTACTTGACTTTGAGGAGAGCTTCAATTGTAGCTTTATCGAAATGCTCCTTCAAACTTGCACAGTCATAGATTTTACCACTACTAAAATATATTGTGTTTATCAGTCCCTAGTATTTAAAGGAGACAGAAAATTGAGCTGATCTTACTGTTTATGTAAAAGTTTCTGGATTTCTCTTACTATTTAGCCAATGAAGCTTCATCTGTATAAACAAAAATGATTTTGACCAATCAGTCAGTGCTTTCTCACCAATTCTTTATTCAGAAACTACATGATTGATTCAACAGTAATAGATCCACCTCTTGCAAAATCATTTTTTTCTTAACACAGTTAAATGGAATCAATAAATTCTTTTACATTTCTAGTTAATCATGTAACCTGAAAATTGAAAATTACCAGCCCACCACATATGCGTTTGGAACAAACAAAAAAGAATTCTGCAGTGGTTTTCTGAAATATATCCTCACTCTCATAAAGTGAACAAGCTACATCATCTTATACTCATTATACAGTAGGTGTAATATTAGAGATACAACTAAATTACTGAACATATTCAATTTTATACTAGA